TCTTTACTTTTCAAAACAGAAGTTGTTACTGGACTAAAGAGGCTGTTTGCCTGGGAACCAATAATATAGGGTTAAGCCTCGGACTGACCTGTTGGCAAAGTCACAAACAAGTCCCAGCTTAGAGGGCACAGTCCCCTTAAGCATAATTAGGCTTGACCTTATGAGGCTCCCTAGATCTTATCTGGGAAGCTAATGGGCTGAGGGACCAATTTTAACAGTGTAACTATGGTCAAAACAAGTGAAACTCACAAGAACAGTGTAACTATGGAAACCACTACCTTGTTTACCTCTGACTATAAAATAAAGGCTCAACTTGCCTCTGGATCTTTCTCTGTGGCCACAGCCAGGCACAGGAAGATCCACGGAGACTAAAGAGAGCTAGAGAGCTATGAACGCTGTCTCCGGGTAAATCATTCTTTGCCAACTCCGTCCACACCTTTGGGAACTCCTGGCCCGCTGGGGCTGGACCCCGGCATTTGCCTGCCAACATCAGAGTTCAATAAGACACAAAAAGGAGCTTGTAGCAAAGAAAGTAAGGGTTTACTGTATTTTAGGAAGTGTGCCCCACCTGGAGACAGGTTAGCTCAAAGACCTGGCTCCCTGATGGCTTTCAGGGGAGGGTTATGTAGAGGGAAAATCACTAATCATGGTGACTAAGGGAATTAGGTTTGTCGTCAGGGTCATGCTCTCTACTCATTGGTCTGTGCAAGGGTAGAGGTTGTTGATCAGTGCATCTGGTCCTGATGTCGGCCGTGGTGTTGCCATGGTTTCCCCTCTTTTCTGGACCTGGAGCTGAAACACCTGAGGCCTAGATGGCACCCCTAGTTTGACTAAAACTCTGTCTCTGGACTAAAGAGGCTGTTTGCCTGTGAGGAGCCAATATAGGGTTAAGCCTCGGGCTGACCTGTTGGCAAAGTCACAAACAAGTCCTCAGACACCGGCCACATGTGATCCCACTTTGTCATTCAACTCAGTCAGCACCCTGAGGGGAGAAATCCTGTTCTTTAAAGACAGGTCAGACCAGAAAATTATATTTTCCTATCTTTTTTTAATGTATAATGCTTAGAGAGGAAAAACTGACAAATTGTTAAACAAAACATTTCCACTACATTTTAAAACCACTTATATCTGATTTTGTTGCATTTTATTATTTTCTTAAAATCATCCAGATCATTTTTCCAGACATACAAAGACTGTTCTTGGTCACTAGAATGCAAGGTCGATGGAGATAGTTGATTTAATCTGTTCTTTTTTTTACTTAAATTTTTATATCCCCTGAGCCTAGAATAGGCCTGGCACATTCAACAAATGTGTTGAATAAGTGAATTAGTAATTGTTGCATTTAAATATCATATGTAATTTCTTCAAAAAGCTCTGGTGGCTCTTTAGAAGCAGCACTACATCTTTACCTTTGCTAACAAATACTTTTTAAAAAATTCATTAATTTTAGGTAAAGTGATACATGCTTATAGCACAATATTAAAACATCACCCAAAGACAGAGATAAAGAAAACTCCCATCTCTGACCTATGCAATCCCCAGTCCTCCCCACCTGTGCAGTCACTGCTACCAATTTCCTTTGTTTCTTTTTTTCCCCAAATATTTTTATTGATTTTTTACAAAGAGGAAGGAGGAGGGATAGAGAGTTAGAAACATCGATCAGCTGCCTCCTGCACACCTCCTACTGAAGATGTGCCTACAACCAAGGTACATGCCCTTGACCAGAATCAAACCTGGGACCCTTCAGTCTGCAGGTCAACACTCTATCCACTGAGCCAAACTGGTTAGGGCTCCTTTGTTTCTTTACAAAGATGTTCTATTCACATTCAAGCATAAATAAGTCTATTGTTTTCTGCTACTTTTTTTTTCAAAACGAGCACATAATATATTTTACAGACTTTTAGAATGGACACTATGCTAAATAATTAGTACATTGTTAACACTTTTCCACCACAGATTTTATTACCCTTTGATCTTAAGGAGGACAGTCTAATACAGACTTCTGAATTGGCATAGATTGAAATAAAGAGAAGAATATGTTCTGTTTAAAAATGTATCTACAGAGAAAAGATGATTGTAATTAATTTTTATGTATTACTGGTATTTTTGACGCAGATCCCCCTGGAAACTCCAATGTGAATTTCATTTGATTTCTGCACTTTGGCCCTCTCTTCCATCAGACTTAGATGCTGCATATAAAGTTCCTAGCAAAGATGCCATTTTTATTTTGAAAGATAAGTACTATATAAAGTTTTAAAATTTGTTGAAATAAATTAGATTGCAATCATTTCATCAAGGCATGAATTTTCTTCAGTGTGTTAAACTTTGGATGGTTTATTACTGTAAGATATTGCTAATGCTTAAATAAGATGTGTATAAAGAACATTATAAGCTCCATTTAAAAATATTCAATGAGACCTAAGTAATAGATGATATCCCATATTTGTGGATAGAAAATTTTAATATAGTAAAATTTCCAATTTATCTATAGATACGGGGAGTTTTCAATTCAAATGCCAAAGCTTTCATGGAATTTGACATACTGTTTCCATAATTTTACACGGCAAAGCAAAGACCACAAATAGCCAAGATATTCCTGGAGAAGCATAAGATGAGTAGAAATGTCCTGCTTTATAAAGCCTTAAGAGGTAACATGATGTGTCAGTGCAGGGATGGATTAGTTACCTAATGGACTATGCAGGCTTGTTGGCTCCTTTGTCAGACTTTTAAACTACCGTTTCAGTCCGTTCTATTGTTATGTGCTATTCGAGTTTCTACTTTTTGAGTTATTTTTATAAACGTTTTCCCAGGAATTTGTCAATATATTCTGTTTTCAAATCAACTGTTATAAATGATCAGAGTATTATTTTATTGTCATTTTGATTATTGCCGAAGTTGTGTTTCCTTTTTCATTACTAATGTTGAATCTTTGTGTCATTCTTTTCTTTATTGATTTCATAAGATAATAAGGTATTTGACAATTTCGTTGGTCTTTGCAGAGACCAATATTTAATTATGTTCTATCTGTGTTATTTCCTTCATTTTTGTTTTCTTTGAATTCATTCTATTACTACTTTTTATAACTTAAGTTTGAAACTTACCTTATTAACTTGGAGCCTTTTTTTCTAGTCTAAGCATTTGTGCCTATAAATATCTCTTTCTTCCCAGCCTTTGTTTTATCTCACAAGTTTCGATATATAGTATTTTCATCTGTTCATTTTAAAAAATCTTATCTTGACTCGTAAGTTATTTGGGAGTATTTTTTTTTTTTAACAGAATGAGACTTTTGTTTTTATTACTCAAAAAAGCTTCATTTTTAAATTTATTTAGCTTTCTGACTCTGTGCTTGTGCCTTCAACACTTTCACAACGATTTTCTGCTCCTCAATAAGGAAAGCACACTTGATCCTGTCACGGACACATTTAGCACCCATGGATCCACCATAGGCCCAGCTGACGTGTTTTTTCGTTTTAGACAACCTCATTAGAACCTTAGGCCTCGCAGCACGAACTCCGCGAAGTCGGCCTGGGCACACACCACACACAGATTTTGGTGCTTTCCCAACCTTCTTGGTGTAAAGGTAAACAATTCTATTACCAGGGGCTCGGGACAGTCTGGTTTTGTTAGAGGCTGTATTGTCGGACAGCCTCCGACGGTATGTCAAACGCTGGACCATGGTGAATACCTGAAGTCACCGTCCCCGGAAGAGGACTATTTTAGAGTATTTTTGAATTTCAAACTGTATGGGGATTTTTATAAAATATGTATTTCTAACAACCCCATTTTTATGAGGATTAAATGAAATAATGTGAGATTACAGTGGACATTGTTAGGGCTCTATAACTCTAAAGTATTGCTGCTATCCACGAATATTCCTAGCATTTATTTATCACGTGCAATGTGCCGAGAACAGTGCTTGTTAGTGGTGAAGTTTGAAACTAAAAGGTGCTCCTATTCTAGAGAAGGCAGCAGAGATGAAGCCCTCAGCATACTGCATGCATGATAAGAGCTGGGACTGAGGGAGGCCACGTGCCCTGGGAGCCAAGGAGGAGCACGTGACCCACACCCAAGGGTCAGCACAGATCTCTGAGAGGAGGTGATGTTAGGAGGAGTGTTAAAGGAGAAGAACTTTGCCGTGTGGAGACACGTGGGGTGTGTAGAGAGTGGAAAGGTCTTTAAGGCAGAAGCAATGTTTACACAAAATTAATAGTGTATCTGGAACTTCTCAGGCAGGTACAAGTCCTTCAGTGCAGGTGAAGCAAGAAATTGACATTTTAGATTAGATAACCTGGCTGTGATGAGAGGAAGGGGCTCGGGTTGGCATGGGAAGGGTAGTATAACAAAGTAAAAGCAAAGAGACTGATAGAATTGCATTGTCCTGATTCACTCAAATGTGTATGGATGCCCAAGGAATTCAGAAGCAGCACAGACTGGACCAGGTGACCATGAGATGCAAGAGGAAGTCAAAAGGAACTGATATATTGATGCAAAGCTTAAGAAAGAGTACTAGGTGAGAAATTTAGATTGAGAAGTCACCGAGACTATAAGAAATAACTAGGACTGGGCACTGTTAGTTATAAATAATAAATATAAGACCAAGAAAGGGCAGTGGACCATTTATTTGTTCACTCATTTATTCATTTACTCATTCAGAGAATATTTATTAAGTATCAGCTATGAACTGGCCATTGGGTTAGTGGTTAGAATTAAAACCAAGACTTCCTCTTTTTCATAATAATGCACTAAAATCATTTCTAAAACCAAAAGGATTCTCTCAGAATTTCTTGGGTTTCTTTTTTCAATAGGAAAGCAGTTCTGGGCCATCAGAGGAAATGAGGTGCAAGCAGGTTATCCAGGAGGCATCCACACCCGGGGTTTTTCTCCAGCCATAAGGAAAATGGATGCAGCTGTTTCTGATAAGGAAAAGAAAACATACTTCTTTGTAGAGGACAAATACTGGAGGTAAGATGCAATAGGAATGACTTGGTATGCAGCTTAATTAATTAAGAAAATTATTTCTTTCTTTAAGGATATTCACCACTCTTACCCGCTAATTTTGTCTAACTTCAAACTTTCTGATTATGAGGGAACCAGCTTCCCAGATAGAATAAAGGGCTCTCACAACAGCTGATTACTGGCTCATATATCCAGACTCCAAAAAACATCAGGAGAGCCCTGGCCAGTGTGGCTCAGTTGGTTGGGTGTCATCCTGTGTACTGAAAGGTTGCCAGTTCGATTCCCCATCAGGGCACATGCCAGGGTTGCAGGCTTCATCCCCGGGAGTGGGGCATGCAGGAAGCAGCTGATAGATGTTTCGCTCTCACATCAATTTCTCATTCTCTCTCTCTAAAAATCAATTTAAAATCTTTTAAAAAAAGACATCAGGAGAGACTAACTGAGGTCTAGACAATGGCCACTATAGGAAGCTTATGTGTGTCAGGCTATAAAGACAAAGTTTATGGGGCAAGTGTGATAGAGAACAAAACGTTTATTTTTAGTCAAATGATTTAATTCACTTTGCGTTTTATGTGTGTGCAGTCTTCATGCCTTTCCAGCAGAAGGGCACTTCGGATCTGTGTGTCTAGAGGCTTAGAAAACCAACCTCAGACATACACGTGGAGCCTCTGTACAATATCATTATGTCTTTGTTCCTGAGAAAATTCTGATTTATGTGCTAAGCTTAAAGTCCAGGGAAGTCACATACATTTTTAGCCATAAAAATGTTTAACACTTCCTTCCACCAGTTGAGGACTATCCAGGATTCCACACTGGAGCATTCACATTACTTCATACTGTTGCATGCAATGGGGCCTCTGCACAATGTTGACCTGTATTTCTTTCATTCAGTACAGATTTGACGAAAACAGCCAGTCCATGGAGCAAGGTTTCCCCAGACGGTTAGCAGATGATTTTCCAGGAGATGAGCCGAAGGTTGATGCTGTATTAGAGGCATGTGGTACAAAGACACTCGTTTCATTGCCAATGGGGACACATTGGGGCATTTTATATCAAAATGATTTGGAGAATCAAAACTATTGCAAACTACTCGGTCTTATGTCTTTTTAAGCCAAATTATTGAAAACTTTGACTTTCTAATTTATGCAGATTAGATTAAAATTTGTTTTTCTTGGACAGTTTCCAAGTCTTTGTTTTACATCTGCACGTAAAATCAAAGGACACTTCCTAACAGCTTAGTCATTATCATTGGTATAATAATACAACCAGTGAGAGCCAGGTTTACTAATGGCTGTGTGTCATCCTCCTCTCTCACTCTCTTCTATTGCATCTCAAGGTGCCAAGTCTGGCCTTCAGTTGCAGTTGGCAATTGTCTGCACTAAATAATTCATTTGTAAATAAATAGTAGCCCTCCCATATGCTCAAAATAGACAAGATTTAATCCCTGGTAATGGGCAGATAAGAAAATAAAATTTCAAAACAACAAGAAAGCCCACTGCATGGGAGAACATATTTGCCAATGTTATCACCGATAAGGGTTTAATCTCCAACATTTATAGGGAACTCATACAACTTAACAAAAGGAAGATAAACAATCAAATCAAAAAATGAGCAAAGGACCTAAATAGACACTTTTCAAAAGAGGACATTCAGAAAGCCAAGAGACA